GAAGATAATGTAAATAACGCAAATAATAAAATGAAAAACGAATGAAATAAAACGATACATAAAATAATGTAATGTAATAATGTGATTTTGATGACTTTGGAGTGCTCTTAAAAAATATGTGTAACAGCTCAGAGCGAGAGCGTATTTTGTTGGATTTACGGACTCTCTTTTAAAGAACGGAAGCGTCTGTTACTTGTAAAAACTTGCAAGTCAGTAAACATTACATTTTAATAAATAGGACACACCTTTATTTTAACTTCTCCGAATTTATGGTTGGAAGTAATCTGCGACGCAAATTTCCATCCTTTGATCTAATCTTCACATTCTTCTACGTGTTTTGGGGACATCGTAGTAGCACCGAAACCAGTAACAATTTTAAAGTGGTCCACGAGAAAAAAAAGCTTGGGAACCTCTGAACTAAAGTATTAATTGTTTAAAGAATCAATATGCATACGAAAAACATTTTATTTAATGGCTAAAGAAAAAAATTTGCTAATTAAACATTTTTTTGCACTTGCAGTTTTAATTTTTATACAAACTTTAAGCGTAGATAGATACATATATTTGTCTTTTTCTATAGGCCTCTGTATTCTTAAAACGGTATATTACCATGAAAACAAAATAAAACAATAACTTTGTTTTAGAAAATATAAAAACAAAGTTGTAATAATAAAATAGTCATTATGTTTGTTTTTCACAGGGCATTTCGAATACGCTTGTTGTTATTTGTTCGTTTCCAGTAGGTTCGGGCTCGAAGGCCATCGGAGGCAACACGTAATTTTTATTTTTTTTCCCCCCACTTTTCAGTTTTTGTCAATTACGAAAAATCATCTGTGAAGTCAAGAATAAAATCAAACGAGGACAATTTAACAGAACGATTGTAGCTTAGTGTGCACATATGTTTGCTGTTATTTGCTAACACGTTAGAATGACAATACAAATATTTGCTTTGTGCTTCCGAACTATGAAAAAGCATCTGTGAAGTGCCGAATAAAGTGTATTAAAAAGAATCGAAGTGTATTTAAACAAAATGTTTTTTAAAGTAAACAACCATGTGCTTAGTATCACCAAATTGTTGTTGAAAATGTCAAAAGTGGCATTGTTTATATTAAACAAAAGTCACTTTAATTCCTTTTCAAGTTTGAATTCGGTAATATTATCAAATTTTTTTTTTCTGAGTGTAGATATTCGGCATAACAGAGTTAGTGCGATCAAAAAGACCATATTAGTTACAGCCAACATTAAGTTTTTTTCAGATTTTTTTTAGTTTTCTGGAGCTCTATCAAGAGAATAATAACATTAGTATCGGCGGTGTATAGCCATATTTGATAACCAAATTACTAAACACACATAAATTTACTACACGTCAAGATTCTTTAAACCCCTAAACAATTTATAAAAACATAGTAGCAAGTTCAGTTTTCGTTTATAAACTACACCCCACTCTGCTTAAAAATAATTGTATAAATTTTCGCTAATGTGTAAATTACAGGGAATGAGTAACCACTTGCGCTCATGCAAATCGAACAAATAAGGATTAACTTGTTATTTCTTTTTGGTTTGTTTTACAAAGAGCACTTAAAAAGAAAGGCTCTCACGGAATAAAGAAATTTCGTTGCACCCACTTTCAACAAAGCAAAATTATTGCTGTGAAACACGCAAAACTGTTTCCTAAATGAAGCTCTTGACCGCTCTATTGAAATAAGTAGCTTGCAACCAACTCAGTTAATACATTTTTAATGTTCACAAACACTTGTGCAATTGAATGGTTGCTATTCATGCCACAACACTTTGAAGCATACAAAAATTAAATTTTGCGAATGAAATAGACAATAGTAAACAAAAGTCCGGTACACATACGGAATGAACTGCTAATGGTGCTTCTTTCAACAACTAAAAGTTTAAGCGCATTATTTTCTATATTTCTATGTTCAAGTAATTACTCGCATCTCTCGGAGAGAGCTTTACGAAGGATAACGGCTATCTTAGTCATAATAAGTTGAACATTCTGACGAAGAAGTGCCCTGAAATCGCAAATCCGAGGGATGCCATGCCTCCGAGATTAAACTTTACAAAGAGGTTCAAACTGATCTGATTAGTAAGAATAGCTGGGCAAGGATATGCGAAACTTATAGGATAAACCAAAACATACCCGTACCCGGTACACTTATGGCTCATTGACTGAAGAGATTACCGGGCAGATGTATTTGGACTTTAGGATCAAGCAAAACTACCGAAATCGGAATATCGCGATCTTGACTGACGGCCAAGCGGCTCTCAAGGCTCCCAGATCTCATCAGGTAACATCAGAACTGGTAAAGGAGTGCCTTAATAAGCCGAATACCCTTGGTCTGACCAATCGAATTTGGGTTATCTGGCTTCCAGGACACACTGGCTTTAAAGGAAACGAGATTGCTCCTGCACCCCTTTCATCGGCCCAGAATCCTTCTCTAGCATAGTAAAAGGGGCACTCTCTACCCTAAAGAGGCTCAAAGAAATTAATACTGGGATATTCTCCCAGGTCTAGAGCAGTCCAAAGCACTTTTAGGAATATGTAACCTGTTTCTCGGATACTGGATAAAAAGACACAATATAAATGAAGGGGACAAAGAAAATCTTGAGGTCGCAGTGCTTTAATGCCAACAATAAAATGAATAATAATAATAATAATAGCATTAACGGCTTTGGCTATCCAAGATCCGAATTTTTTAATAAATAAATTTTTTAAGTTCTTTGTTTTTAAAAATGTACATATGTATACATACATGCAAATATAAAATACTACACAAAATCATTTAAACATATTGAATTTTGTTGGCAGAGCTTCGGAGCATTTAGGGGAAGACCCCAAATTAAGTATGACTAAAATGACTAGGCGAATTTTTTAATGAATTTTTACGTTAATAAGCCAACCCACATGCAGTTCACCAGGTGGCAACGCATCCACAAAAAGTTAGGGTTTGATGTGGACTTTGGCCCGGCTTGGCCATCACTGTCCATGCCGAGCCATAATAGCCGATTTTATTTACCCGCAATTGATCGATATGGATGGAGCGCATGGTTATCTCTCGCAGAGGTGTTGCGGATTTGTTACTACTAAGATCGTGCGATTTGAACCAGCTATACTTTTTCTTGCAGGCTTTTCCAAAGTAGCAGGTACACGCCGATAAGCCGTAATCGACTAATTCTCTTAGAGCCAACATAACTCAGACTATCACTCAAATTCAGGCGGGTTTGCGCGGTAGAGTTATTGAGAATTGGATCACTCGGAACCGTGCGACTGTAAAAATCCAGAAATGTATTTTTTTGTGCACTGTTTGAACTCAAACGGTAAAGAAAGTTACTATTTGCAAAGAGCTATTGGCGTTACTCTGCTAAGTCGAATTCGTTTTTTTGGAATGCCAAATTTATACATGGCTTCATATGTATGTGAAGGTTGCTATCGCTCGCGAAAATACAGCATATCTATCTACATATTTGCATATTTCCGTTCTTAATCTTCATAAGCCACTTGACATTTTTTCGCTAACAACGAAAACTGTCAAAAAGAGATGCTGGCACTTTTCGAGTTTTGCTAAGGACTTGAAGAAGAGCTAAAATGGCAAAAGATTGCCCTTAGCAGCTCTCGAGATCTCACGAACACTTTTTCAGTAGACAAGTTACATATGTACAGGGTGACTTCGCATATTGTTAAGGTGTGTCATAAAAATATATGGAAGTATTCAGCAAAGTACAGCGCAAGTGTTGCTTCAAGCAAACAACTGAAGTGGCATAAATATCGACATGCATACGTGTGCCGAAGCAAATACCTCCTTGCAAGCACTTGGCGAGATAAGAAAATGTGAAAAACGCACGCGACTAACAGCAGATTACACAAGCAAATACACATGAATATATACATACATACATATGTATGTATTAACACAATTATAGGCATGCTCATAGCAAAAGAAAAACTAGCTAAAATATATACTAACTGCAGCTATTATCAATTGACAAAGAAACGGTTGACACTTTTGAATGCAACGCTGAAGATAAACAGCTTTGAGTCGAAGCTGCTGCGAATAATGGGCGCGTGTGGCACGTTCGAGTGAGCACAGATATTAGTGGAATACCACGCGAATTCAAGACAAAAAAAATATTAATAGTTGTAAAAATTCATGTGCTGGCGGACGTGGGGATATACATGTAGCTGTAGGAAAAATTTTTTTTTAATAAAGTCACATGTAAAACAAAAAAATAACGATAAACGAAAAGGGCGCTCAACAAGGACAGCGAATCGCTGAGAGCAATACTAAAGCGTGTCACAGTTAGTTATTTTACGAGTGAGGTATGTGTGAGGTATACATAAATACATATACATACATACATGTAAGGTAAGCATATGCTCACTTTTCAATTGTAAAAACACACATTTACAATTCAACAAGCGTATGTGGAAATATGCGCAAGGCAAAAACTACAAAAAAAATTGTCACGAGCTACAGTTTTTTAAGCTGCCGACTATTGCAGTTGCGAAATGCAGCAGGAAAAACTTTTGCAAAAAAAAACATCTTAAAAAAATAACAATTTATAATTCACTTCTTATAAAACACGCGCGTTGTAAATACATACATACACTATTATTTTTATTATTTTTTTTTTATTATATTTTTTCCGGCAGTGTATGTAAGGAAATATGCACATACACTTCTCTGTTGTGAGTCTAACAATTTCAGTTTCTTTGGTAAGAGCACTCACAACTCTGGCCATAGCCTTTTGAATGGCTCCTGTGCTCTGTTTTTTGTTTTTTTTTTTAAATCTTAGTTTCTTCAAAGCAATGCATACTAATTAAATCATAGTATGTGCATGAAGCTATTTTCTGCTCACGTACTAAACTGCTTAATTCGCTACTCTCTATCTATGTATGTATATGCTGCTTTCTACTACTTTTTACTAAGCACCACTAATTGCTGTAATTCTCCCTTTTTGGGGAGATTTTTTCTCTTTTCTATTTTCAGAGTCCGTGTGGAATATTACGTAAATGAAAACACATTCAAAGAAAGACTGCAACTTTACTTCATTAAGAATCAGAGATCAAGTGAGTACGAAACGTAGATTTACATGCGCACATTGCATTTACATACATACATAAAAGAGCTTAAATACATGGAACAATTTTAAGTTGAATGCAAAACCGAGTCTGTATGTATATAGAAACACATGTTTATTAAAATGAATATTTACTATAGAGAACGGTGATGTGATGTTAATAGGGTAAAATCTCATTAACGAATGAAAACATTTAACGTTTCAAACATTAATAAAGATCAAGTTTTGGTACTGGTATTAAGGCAATTTAAAAATTTAGCAACCTTTTGGGTCTTCCAGGTATAGGTTTAAATGCAGCACCTCTGCTGACAACTTTGCTCCATTATTTGACCACTGCCAGTATTAGAGCAAACTGCGTCTTATAATTTGTATTTGACAGCCACTCAGCCTTCGTCAGGGCCTGGGGTCGCATCATTATTGGGAAGAAAATATGAAGAAAGTTGATATCCTCATTTTAGTTGTTGGTGTTTCCTTCTTGATCTCAGCTAATTTTCGTATGAAAACCTCTACCCTGCGCTATCTCTTGACTCTTTACAGACCTCAAAAAATGTCTCTTCAGTAAAAGGTGTGGGTCGAAAGAAGGTAGTTATTTACCCATAATGGTCACATCTTGTCCAGTGGACCTGTGCTCAACTTTGCCGCTATACAGTTTATACAGAAACTATTCAAAATCGAATTTGTCACTTAACTTGTTATTACTAGAGTTTAGTTCAATAATTTTAGGCCTCTAGGAAAACCAGTGTGGCGTCAATCGGTGTACACTAGGATGATTCCAAATTGTAACTTTTTTTAATCTCGACTGAGAACGTTCGGATTCTTGAACATAATGGAGAGGACAAGTTCCTTCTAAAATTTCAGCTTATTTGAATAAGATTTAGAGGTCGCTGAACGCTGTTGTTTGCTTTCCGGAAACTACAGATTTTAAGTGCATCTTTGGAGTGTGTTTTCATAAAGTCTTATTGGATTTCGCTGAAATTTCGTAGATAGATTCCCGAATATCAGCTTATTAGACCACAGTCTTTATAAGTTCGATGAATTAGTTTTAAACATATTTATTAATTAGTTAATAACTTAGTATTGCCTTATAAACAATTAATATTTGCAATATTTTTTTTGTTCCTTAACCATTAAGCATATGCTTAATACATCAATGATCACATTATAATTCATATCAATTGTGGACCTTATCATTAATAATAGATAAACATCACTCATACGCCATGTTGAATCAAAGTGTTTACCTAGTCATTGCAAATATTAATAGTGTAATAATAATGTTTTGGCGCTTACACCTTTGCCAAGTGTTTGGCCGAGCTTCTCCTTCAATTTGTGGCGTACTTCTTGATGTGTCACAAAAAGGCGACGTACCTACGACATGTTGAATCCAAGAGTTTTTCTGGTCATCGCAAATGTTAATAGCCGCAACAGTAACGTTAAAAACACTTCAAGCTCTGAAATGGGCTTGTAGTATCAAAATATATAGAAAAAAGGTTTTTTCCTTAACAGCAGTCGCCCCTCGGCAGGCTTTGGCAAACCTCCGTGTATATTTCATTCCTTGAAAAATCTTCTCCCAAAATCCATTTGCTGTTCGGTGGCGGTGCACAGTGTAAGATTTTGCCAATCTAGGACTTATTTAAAAAATCAATTTTAAGCAAAGTTTTTGAGATATCAACTAGAAATTTTGCATTGTTTTTAAGAATAACACAAGCTTCAATACGGTTATGAATAACTAGTTGCAACTAGTGTCAAAGAGGACTAGGGCGAGCTATCCTTAAAAATACTAGTTGGAGACAATTTTTTCCAGAGTAAAACCAAAAAATTTGTATGATATATGTATTTATATTGGCAAAATTTGAAGAAAATTGCATGACAATTTGAAAAAATAAATTCAAAAATATAGGTTAGTAGAACATTTTTTATACCAAAATGACCGTACTATCCCTAGAAAGACTAGTTGGAGTATATTTTTCCCGGAGGAAAATCAAAAAATTTGTGTGGCATATGTTGGCAAATTAGAAGGAAATTTCCTGGTCATTTTGGAAAAATTTAAAAAATGTAGGTTAATAGACCTATTTTATACCAAAACGACCGCCAAAATAAAACAAGGGTTAAATTTTTTGAAACTTTGAATTTATAAACTAAAACTAAAATACCACCCAAAATATTTTTTCTAAAATGCTGATACGATTAGCTGAAAAAGCTCAATTGTCAGTGTTTCATTTGGGTTCTCCATAGCCATGTAGAAGCCTATATTTTTCTTAGCAGGCATGCCAAATTTCAAGTTTTACCTCACTCAAGCAAATATCAAAAAGCTCCTCGTATAATATATCACTTAAGATGAAAAAAGATACCTTTGAGCAGAAAATGGGAAGGAGAAAGTTGTAAAATTCTAGTAGATGTATAAAATATAACGGTAGTGGCATCTGTTTATTTACTTGGGGTCCTTTGTATAGCTTAGCTCAAACCGTGCCATTTTTAGCCCCATTTTACTTCAAATGGCATTTAGGTTTTCAATTCTGGTCATTCATATATCCTAAGCAGTCACGGGTCAATCGCTCAGAGACCTAGATAGAACAAAAGCGGGTATTTATATTATATGGCGGTCAGGTAGCCTTCAAAACTTTTCAATCACACATATTCTATGCAAACTCTCTTACTGAATCCCACACATCCCTGATTGAGAAAGCCCAGATTTATAAACTCAAATTAATATAGGCGCTGAGAGGTACCTATCTGATGACCTGCATGCCTAATTATGAATAGGAATTGATAGAGTGAAGAATTAGCCAGACAATATTTGACCACATCCTTCCAAGAAAGAACACACTAGCAGTATAAATGGTCCCATTAGAACGACATTTAATAAATCGCATGGCTGAAAATAGACAATATGCAGGAAAAATTCCTTCGTCCAAAGATATAGGAACCATTTTTGGTACTCCTATAACAGAAAACTCACATCTGTGCTCTTCACTTTTCTTATAAGGATTGTTTTTGGGCTTCCATGGTATAAGACTTGGAAGAAGATTACTTACGCTTGGCAAACTATTTAATGAAATCTCTGTAGAAATCTCACAGGTGGAAAGTATTCCCGATGGTATCGCACTGTTATTATTCGTGGCCTATTGTGTGAGGAGGGCTCTGCTCTTCTGTCGTTTCAACCTAAACTAAGAACTCTTACTTTGCAAACCGTTTTCTGCTTTTCAACGCTATTTTTGCGTTAGTTAACGTGCAAGTGTTTCCTAGTTATTTATAAAACNTAGATTTAATAAATCGCATGGCTGAAAATAGACAATATGCAGGAAAAATTCCTTCGTCCAAAGATATAGGAACCATTTTTGGTACTCCTATAAGAGAAAACTCACATCTGTGCTCTTCACTTTTCTTATAAGGACTATTTTTGGGCTTCCATGGTATAAGACTTGGAAGAAGATTACTTACGCTTGGCAAACCATTTAATGCAATCTCTGTAGAAATCTCACAGGTGGAAAGTATTCCCGATGGTATCGCACTGTTATTATTCGTGGCCTATTGTGTGAGGAGGGCTCTGCTCTTCTGTCGTTTCAACCTAAACTAAGAACTCTTACTTTGCAAACCGTTTTCTGCTTTTCAACGCTATTTTTGCGTTAGTTAACGTGCAAGTGTTTCCTAGTTGTTTATAAAACTTTATTTACACCAAAAATTTAGCTGAATGCATTTAAGCCAATGTTGCTCATACGCCTCTGCACACTTTTAGCTACACTAAGTAGGGAAAAGTAAAAAAATTCGTTACACTATGATAAACGTCCAAAGCAAATGGCAACATCTTTATGCTTTAAATATTTAAAATAAATATTGTTATATGTACATATTTAGGTCGACTTGCTTGCTTTGACCTCAACACTAATNTGCTTTAAATATTTAAAATAAATATTTTTATATGTACATATTTAGGTCGACTTGCTTGCTTTGACCTCAACACTAATTTGTTATTTCTACAAATACATAGAATGTGCATCAGTATGCCAGAATGTGACTGACAAATTACAGTGAAAAAACATATGTATTTATATACAGTTACGTGGAACTACATAATTAACAACGAAGTAGCCCAGCGGATTATATTAACTTGCATANTTTGTTATTTCTACAAATACATAGAATGTGCATCAGTATGCCAGAATGTGACTGACAAATTACAGTGAAACAACATATGTATTTATGTACAGTTGCGTCGGACTACATAATTAACAACGAAGTAGCCCAGCGGATTATATTAACTTGCATATACATAAAATTCTAAGGTTTCAGTAAAACGGAGCCCCGACTTGAAATATGTATAGTAAAAAAGTAGCGATGTGCTATTAATCGGTTAAATAACTTTTGATTTAATCATAATCCGGACTAGTTAAANATACATAAAATTCTAAGGTTTCAGTAAAACGGAGCCCCGACTTGAAATATGTATAGTAAAAAAGTAGCGATGTGCTATTAATCGGTTAAATAACTTTTGATTTAATCATAATCCGGACTAGTTAAAAAATTTTCTTAATCATATTCTGATTAATTAGACTATGAGCAACCACTTTTTAAAAAAATAGAGCTTCAAAATTCTCTTTTTAAGCCTCAATGCGACTGTTTTTCTCCGAAATGTAGCCTGTCAAAGTTCACCGAATGATACGGTGTTTTTTTTTTTGCTACCTTAATTTTTTTGAGTAGTGGAAGGAAAGGCAAGCACATAACCTATCCACCTAGTAAAAAGACTATTTGGTGAAGTGAGACCACTTTGGATAAATGCCAATAAGAAGCCGTTGTTCTCCTCAAATTACAGAAAATTTTTTCATGATAACGTAGGCCCCCGGCGAGTCTCACATGGACCCTTGGAGGTCCACCTGGACCACTTTGGGAATCAATGCTTTAGAATAACTCCAGTACTAAGCTGTTTATTTAGAAGGTTGAATTAAACTCATTTCGGCACAAACTGAAAAGTCGACCTATTTGTAATTGAGT